ACACTGTGCCTCAACCGGGAGGTATGTGGCATGCTTCAGACACGGCAGTTCGTTTGAGTCGGGGAGAGCTCAGACAAGTAGCGAGTGATGGGTCTGGAGAAATCCAAAGCAGTACAGACGAACTGAGGGCGGCGACAAATATGTTTCCTGCGACGTGGATAGATTGCATCCGAGTCGTTAGAGAAAAACCAGCTGGGCCTGCACGCATAGTCGGCTTGTACCGCCTGTTTGAGAATTGCAAAACAAAGGTAGCTGTCGAGTCAAGTTGAGACGAGTAGAGAGTCGGCCGTAACGGTTAAGCTAGGACCATTGGAACCTTGCAGAACGCGGAACGGAGAGAGGACGCAGTCTGCCGGCCGAGTCTGCTGTTCCCTAACACCGATTACGAAGTCACCGCTCTGTTCGAGATTAGAGTTATTGGGCAACCACAACTGTGTGAGGCATCGCCGATTTTGCACGGGACAGTCGGCGGCGGTCTGGGTGTCGATCATCACGAGGCCTCGACTCAACGCCGCGTCGCATGAAGAAAGCATACGAGCGTAATTCGTGGGTAGTCATGCCCAAGCCTTCGACGCCAGCTCGGAGATCTAGGGGGGCTGCGAAGCGCAGAAATTCCAAGATGCAAACAGGCAGACGACGCGGCAGCGCAGGCATCCGGGACGTGAGATTGAGGTAGCGAGTCGTCCAGATCGACCTTGAATGAAATTCCGCCTTGTGCGATGCAACCATTGCGTTTGATGCCGCCCTCCGGCCAACGGCCAAATACGCCATTCGTGTATGACCAAAGTCTTCCGTGCCACCGGTACCAATGGCGACGCTAGATCTGTGGCAAAAGGCATCTAACAAGGCACGCAATGTCAACGCTGTGGAGAGAAGCAGAAACGTTGACTTCTGCTACCGGCCGCGAGAGCTGCATAATACCACAAAGCAACAAATGCAGGGTTCTGAATCTAGTTCCTTACACTAGTGTCCTCCGGTGGCTGCAGCTACCACCCCACAGCGGAGACATACCGCATTCTATGGGTTGAACACCTGTCGAGATCCGGTCTGTAGTGTTATTGCTGGTGGAGTGGATAGAGATGTTCCGTCGACGGACTCCAGTTCGGCGCAGGTCCGATCTGGATTGGCGGGCACCCGATTCATCTCGATGGTCGAGAACTGATGGGCCATGGCAGCCATGCCCGTCAGTGATTCAGCTGCGACGGAAACGACTAGGGCAGGGAACGCCAACAAGCTATTGGCACCAAGCGGGCAGGATGTTACCTGTAAGCCGGTCGTCTCGAGCGCGTGAGACACTGGCCGTCAAAGGCAGCAGGACTCGGATGCGACTGGCGATTCCAAAGGAACCAGTCGGCCGTGATTTGCAAATCGTGACGGACGGTAATCGAGGTATGACGCCGAATGGGACCCTGCATCGGGGCAACGGACAATGCGATTGTCCTGGGTTGCTGTGTGTCCGGGTTGAAGGTGGTATTGGGGGTGACTGGACTGTTGTCAACGTGGATCGTATCAACCACGTGTCGATGAGCTGGGATTATCTTACCACGTCGGCGATATCACTGAAAGGTGGTCTGTCAATTGAGACCGGGAAATGGTTGAATGGATAGGCGCGTCGCTTGATAGTGTCATGGCCGGTGGCATCATGTGCGGCTTGCTTGTCACGCTGAAATGCAGCACGGATAACGCGGAGATTCCTCGTCGAAGCGCATGCTGTGTTTGTGTAGGGCATCGTGTAGGTACTGCGTGCGGCGTGAGGCCACTGGTGGATTGGCAGTGTGCCTAGGAGTGGGCTTGTCGTCCAATGTACATCTGGGGTCGGGCAGCATTGGTACTGAAACCAAGTATTGCCCAGGGTCGTTGCATCCAGCCTGTTTGATCGATCGAGCTCGGCGCGCCGTGCCTGCTGATGAATGTGCTGTGTTTGATCGCCCGCGGCACTCCTCCCCGCACCATTTCAAATGTCTTATATGTGCTTTCAGTGTAGCATATAACAGGTTGTGACGGGCAACTAACAAGGAGGGCGCGGTCTTGCCTGAAGAGGCCGACGGAGGTCGGCGCGGGGCTGCTTCGCCGTCCACTATGCCGGGGACCGAGACTGATTAGCCCCGGGCTGACACGGTTCACCCGTCGAGCGTTGTTGGGGAAGGAGAGGACCGGCCAGTGTGACGAGCGTGTGTACTCGGGAAATGAAGACGGGGGATTTGGCGGGAAGGAATACACGAAACCAAAACCCAAAATGGCATCACCACTGTCGTGCTTTACCTGCCTCCTTCCTCGAGCAGTGGAGGTGGAAGGAAGGTGCCTGCCTTTGCTTCCCTATTACCCACTTACCAAGCTTCCTCCAGATGACTGATCCCTCGCGAAGGTGCCTTCTCAATTTCCCAAAGGCGAAGACGAATGCGCCAACTGAGACAAGAACGGATGGCCCTGACCTGTCTGTCACGGTCTACATTTCGAGGAAAGGCAGGCGCGCTCGCAAGGTGCTTCGCTGTGACAGCCTACTGGATGCATCCTGCAGGTACAGAACGGCCAGTCACACACACAGAGCTCTCTTCTCTGACGTTAGCTGCCGTCAGCCGTCTCAAAAGCAAAAGGCTTGGCCAACCGTCTTTGCCGTCTCGACTTGGTCTTGTGCCGCAAATAGAGAGATATCGAGGTACCAGACCAACAGTTGGCGAACCAACAGCCAACCGCTGCCGTGTCTGCTTGCGGTCCTGAGGCGGTCCCGACGTCAACTTGATCAAATCCACCCCCAGTCAAGTCACCTCCCAGGTTGCTTCCTCGCATCTTGGTAGCCAATCCCCACTGCACGGTACATTACAATGACGGACCTTAATTAAAGAATATTGTCCAATAGATCCTCCCGCACGGCAACATGCCCCTGCTCCTGCACCCGGTACTCAACCTCGAACAAGGGGTCAAGCTCTACAACCCACCTGGCCTGTCGGCCATTGTAGCGCGTTGCATGAACTGCGCTGGCTCTCCTCACGTTCGCTCTTCCCTTTCAGCACCCTCTGCATCACTTCCAACTGCATCAGGAAAGGCCGGCGGTGTCCCCCAACAGGCCGCCTGCTTCTGTACCAGCTCGAAGCCACGATGCTGCTGCCAACGCCTCCAAACCGGCCCCATCTCTTACCAATCTGGCCCAACTGCTTTCACCATCGACGCCTCCTCGACTGGGGTCTTGCGCGGGTCCCACGGAATGAGCAGAGACAGAAGGGGGCTTGCGGGCGCTCAAAGCGCCGCCAGATCGGGAAGAAGGACCATTCGGTAATCCACAGAGCCCACCACGCTTCTCCTTCAGCTCTTGTCTTTCGCTAGTGCCCGCCGAGGGGCCCTTCAAATAGACTGGGAGACCCTGGCTTGGCCTTCGCTCTTCGACTGGTCAGACCGGGTAGGTGAGGATCTATGCTACGACCGTCTAATTATTCTCTCACCCGCGCTACTGCTTCAGCTTACAAAATCCTGGGCTCCAACTCCCGTCCAAGACTCGCGAGACGTGCCCCCGTTTCCGTCCGAGGTTCATATTTATTACAGAGCAACCTCGAAGAAACTCCCTCTCCAACTCCCCGTACCTTGCACCCGTCTCCCCCTAATCGGTCCCCGAGGCCCAAAACCAATGACCAGCCTACACGAGACGGGGTAATTGGCGACCATCTCAACCTCCAACACCCCATCTGGACATTTACAATTCCTCCGTTACCACGCCTGTTTCCAGACCTAGAACCGTACCTGCTTTGCCGTCTTTCTTCTGCATGCCCAGGTCCCGCCCGCTTGTTTCCCTAAGCGCTCGCCAGTCAGCGTTCGACTTCGCCCTTCCAGATCACCAACACGGCGCTTCCACGCACATCCCGTGCCCTCCATTGGCCACCCACCCTGTCCCTCAATTTCAAATCTGCCTCGCCTGCCCTCAATCCGCTGCTGCTCTGCGTCTATCCAGACAGAATGGGACTGCTCCTGGCGTTTCATTGATATCGAATAAGACTGTAGTATCCCAACCAACGCGGGCCAAGTTGACTTACACCACGCCGGCCGGGCCAACGTCTCCAATTGTACCAACAGCAGAAGCGGCGCAGCGGGACAAACATTCCATTACTTGAGACTTACACCCCGCGACCCTATTTGACTTGGGCTTCTGCCCTTTTCTAGCTTCCGCCATGGACCCTACAACGACGCTGTTCACGTTCATGCTGTGAGTCGTTTTTATTCTTTCAAACCGTTTTGGTTTTTCCTTCTGTTCGCCTTCGTTTCCTTGTCACTTTCGCTGGCCGAAACTTCGGCCTCGCATTCGCTCCAGTCCGTAAAACCGGCCATCTCTCGTTCGAAGTCGCATAATTGTATGTTCGGCCCCTAACCTCCCTCCCCTCGTCCCATCACACGTTCTACATGACTCTTGCACAAATCCAAGTACGGCCGTTTGAAGCACAAGGCCTGCGAAAGTTCGATGCCTGTCCTCATTTAGCATTCATACAAGTCTGTCTCTTCGGTTTCCCCAAAGGGTCTGGAAAAGCATTCGGGGACCGGGGCCGAAGGTTGTTTGGTTCTGCTTAACCGTCTGCTTGGGCTCATGTTTCGAAGATTGTCGGACGGAAAAGTTTATATCGGGTTATGCTATGCCCTACCTCCCCGACCCTGGCCTGCGCCCGTTCCTCCCCTCCCACCATCTTGCTTGCCATTACCAGCTCCCAGCGGCAACCTTCCGAGAACTCCGTCAAACACCTTGCAAAGCCAAAAAGCGTCGCCGACGGTGATCGGCACCTCGTCCGCTTCTGGGGGGGGACAGGGGACCAGGTCTGATGCTCGGCGCAAGCCCAGTGGCTGGTGTTGGTGTCTTGGCCTTGCATCACAGTTGACACCTTCTCACTTCCTGATATATATGACTGGAAGCAACCCACCCATTCATCGTGGCTAATCATCACCACCTATGTAGTCAGACTCATCCTTCAGTAAGATCAGTACACTTGGTCGGCTCTTGGGACAACTTCACCAAACCATACATCATGGAACGAGATATTCGACGAGATCGCGGCGAATGGCGCGGGTGCCACACATTCAAGGACATTGTTCTGGACGACGACTTGGGTGTGAGGGACACGAAGCGCAACGGCGGCCTGAAGATGGGGAATACTTACTATTACTACGTGAGCCACCGCATGGCAGCTCTCGATTGACTTGGATACTAATAACTCTCCAGTACGAGATTGATGGAACGCAGGAGTCGCACAACCCGGCACTGCCATCCACCACCAATTGCCCTTACCTTCCCGGGCAGGCTGTCAACACTCTGGACGTCCCTTACGAGGTGGCGGAGCGGAAGAGAAGTGCATCGTTGGGTTCGCTCCGCCCCGGTGAACAGAAGACGATGAATCCTGAAGACAAGTTCATTACGCCCCGGCCTCCACCACCAGTGCCAGGCGGTCAAATTCGAAGACTCGGCTCTGCACCAGCCGCACAACCTACTAGGGCTATTTCCCGAGCCGATTCTACGTCTCCTCCGCCACCCTGGCGTCGTATGTTCAACAGGAAGCCATCGACCAGCCGGCTTGCTGAGCGCGGTCGCCAACACGACGATGAGGCCTGTCCTTTGTCGCCCTACTCTGGATCGTCATCGGACGATAGCAGGAGCATGGGTTCATCTGAGCGAAGCCGCTCTCGCGATCTCTCCCCAGAGTCGCTACGACGCTTCCTCTCCGATGAGAACCCGTTTGCCAGCACTCCATCCAGCGCATATGGGCGACCGCCTGTTGCCATCCCCGATGATATCGCCGAGGAGAACGACGACGACGAGAACTTTGCCAATTCGGCTTACGAGGTTAACCCTTACACGACCAGTCTGTCGCCACCGCCATTCAAGCGATCGCATTCAGACAGTACCCTGCCGGTAGTGCCCGCGCCGAAGGTCCTTACCCGTGAGAAGAAGTACTCCCCGCTTCCTCCCCTCCCCGTCAAGGCGGTGAGGGATCTTGCGACGGCACCATCCGCCTCGCGCTTCTCTTTCTCGTCTGACTCTAGCATCGCCTCATCCATCGGCCCCATCTCCCCCGAGGATGATACACCATCCTTCTACGACTCTACCGAAGAAGATCGCGACTCCAACGAGAGCGAGACCAGCTTGGTTCAGCCCTTGTCGCTTCCCAGCACAAGGAAGCCATCTCTGGAGCAGAACTACAGCTTACCCCGCGCTGCTGGAATCAAGGTCCACCCCGGCGTACAGACTGTCGTCGCCGCCCCAGTTGACAATGGGCTTGACGACTTGGTCAATGAGATGGGCTGGATGGTCGACGTTATCCGAGGCAAGGGCATCTAAATGAACATTTACTACGCAGGTCACACACGCGACAGATGACCTTGCAGTACCGTCGTATATATCGAAAGCCTAGCTAACACGCACAAGGCCACCTAGACGGGTTACATATCAGGTTATACAAAAAGGCGGCATCGCATCAGCGTTCCCTATTGGGGTTCAGGGCTGGCCGAGAGGAATTCACAGGGAAACGGATTTTGGACGGAGTACTGGACGAGATATACCCTTTCCTTCCCCTTCTACAACTACTACCACTCATGGCTTTTATGTCAATGGCGCTTTATGGAGCGGAAACTTCGAGGAACTTTGGGGTGCAACGGAGGGAAATCACTGGGGAACAAATGGAATGGGATGGCGCAAATTTGGTACATTGCCAAGGTGTTTGGAGTATCTGGTCGGATTTGTCGTGGTTGCTACGAGCGAGCTGAGTTGAAGGGTTGTACGGGTGCGAAAAAGGTACCCATGCTATCGGCGTTGCCAACTTGGGAGGAACGAGATCGTGTCAGATGGCTGAATGAAACATATGCAATTACTCAAGAATCTTGCAACTCCCCCATATGTCAAGTGACTATTGCTTGTGATACAAGCCCGGCTTACCAGCCCGGCTCACCACCGGCTGCTAAATTGCTGCGTGGGGTCTGACAGATTTAGCCCCCAAAAGTAAGCAAACTCGGCGGTTTTCGAGACTTTGGCTCAATAAGCTTCTTTTTGCGTACGAAGACTTTCATCTGTGCACACGGTCGTTTCAGAGCGTCGGAGGCTCGGCCGACACCTCACACCTCGTACGAGCCAGAACGGACACATCAGCGATTGGACGTGTATGTGTGTGTGTGCCTGTTTTGGACAAGATTAAGAGTTGGGGGAACAGAAAGAAGTAAGCGCAAAAGTGAGGGAAAACCGCGTGGCATGGAAATGATAAGCATACCTTGAGCAGAAACAGGAAGGAAACCCAAAAGGGGAGCCATGTCCACCAAACTGTCAAGACGTTTAGCCTGCAGGTCATTAACCCTCTTGGAATAGGGTAGGGAGGGGGCATGACGACGGTGGTGGTTGGTTGGGGTTGTTGGTCCTACCAAAGTGCGTTTCCCCATTGTGACACTTTTCGTTGTTCACGATGTAATAGACAAAACAGCCGCACTTGGCCGGGTTGGGATGCGTTAGAGTCTCACTCATGAGGAAATTGATGGGGGATTATCTGAAGGCCAATTATTCCTTCTGGCTCGATTCGCCCCCAGTATCGTCAGAATTTGTCGGTGTCGTCATTTCACGAGCACACATATACTTCCTCCAGGTTTGTGTAGCCGGCGAGCGTCGTCATGTTCTCCTTCTGCCTACGAGAAAATCTGCCCACATGCCGTGATTGCCCCGAATTGGTTTAGATGAAGACATGACCTCAGATACGATGGTCTGTCCCCTCCCTCCAGTGTGCCTCGCCGAGATGTGTTCTTTGCACCCGTGTTTGTAGAGAAACCCACTCGGAAGGGGGTGCGGGGAAGAAGGGGGGAAGAAGCGGTTGAATTACCATCCTACGAGACCGTCAAATTTCTCTGAACCCCTCTTATCCATCCTCATCTTCTTCGCCAAGTGATGTCAAAGTTGGAAGAAGAGAGTTGAGACGAATGCGAACATTTCAGCGAGGTATCCATCCATGTACCTCCTCGGGCACCTCCAGGCACGGCACTTGGGATTGGATGGCTAGACGTATCGTATGGTTCGGTGCTTAATTATGCATGCCCAATCGGAGACCTCTGCGAATGGCAAGGATGGTAGGGAAAGAGGCTCAGACGAGGGGTTAGAGGGGAGGGTATTACTGAGACCGCAACACCATGGGACGGGGACGTATCAGTGAGCAGCAGAGATGTGTGTGTGTGTGTGTGTGTGTGTGTGTGTGCGTACGACTACGACGACGACGACGACGAAGTTGAAAGCTTCGGACGGTTGCGGCGCAAAGTAGAGTTGGAACGGGGAGACGGGTATCCGATATCGAACCCGAAGGCTTGGGATGGATCGGGGTGGTGTGTATACATGATAGTGGTACCTTGGAGAAGGTGAAGGGGGATGAGAACGAGATTGCGTGCGAATGCTTGGTGAAATGTATGGATGGGCAGGGAAGGTTGAACATGCTTCGATGAGGCTCAACGTCGGATGCGTCCCGTGTCAACAGCCCTGCTTCCTGCATTGCAACTCCTCTTCGGCGCGCGCACATAATGTGTGTGTGAGTGACTGGACGTGGAAGTCCAGGTATGTACGCATGGCGTGGTGGTGTAGAATACGACCACGTATCTTCGTCCTCCATCCCCATCCACCCAGCGTTTGAAGGTGGTGTTTTCGATCACAGATTGGATTTCCGAGCCTGCAATGGGTGCCTTGCCTCGTCTCTCTCCCCCCTCTTCCCTCTCCCGTTCCCCTGGTCTCTTCTCTAGACCATGCGTTCCCAAGTGCCCGCAACCATCACGACTCAGGTTGAACAAAAGTCGGGACCTACCTTTTGTTAACCTTTTCTCACTCTGTGCCTTTGGGTCTAATTGGTCTGCCGTCGACTGCATGGGGTCTGTAAAATTGGGAGCAAGGTGCCTGGTCTGAAGAGGGAAACCGTCCCATCATGCGGCGCGCGCGACAAGATCTATGGAAAAAGGATAAAAGAAAGTCAAGCACTACACCACCAACGTCCAAACATATTCTTATTTAACGTTTTTCATGCTCTCCAGCATGCCAGCTCCCTCCCGTTTTTTCGTCTCTTCCTGCTTTACCCGGGCCCTCTCGACCCCTTTTCTTGCTTCATCGAGCAGCTTCCGAGGCCCCTTGATACCTCTTTGGTGTGTCATTACGTGATGGGGGAAACGAAAAGAAAACAACCTGACTAGCTAGGTACCGAGGACCGGGAGACAAGAGGACGGATCACGGACATCTTGTCGGCCACCTCTCTCCCGGCCGAAAACGCCCACGGGGTACCGAAATTATATTTCACAGGACAACACTAGATGGCCCTTTACCATGGGCGAAGCTTGTCTGTCTGCTATCGTGTGTTCGTTACAGGGTCTCGTCTTGGTGGTACCCAGAAATATGACCGCAGTAGAAGATGGGCAGCAGAAGTGAAAGCGGACAGCATAAATGAGCCTAGAACGAAGCAGTTGATCTCATTTCTCAGAGCGCTTCCGAGACGTCAGGGTGGAGAACGCCCTGCGGGTATTGTCACAATAGAATACAGATTCACCATCCCACATAGATGCCCACCAACAACGTCGTACCCAAAGCCAGACGACTACCTATAAACACCCTTGACGTCAGGAACCTCTTCAATACGCCAAATCCCATATTTTCACTTTCTTGACCCCCTCTCTCTGAACTCCCCGTGTGCCTGTTTCGGCACCCTCTCTCCGATCTGATCAGTCGGAGCCTATAATTGTTAGGGTGTAGGGACGTCCGATGTCCTCAAACACCGTGGCCTTTCGCTCCCGTTTATTTGTCCAAACGACTCAAGCGGGCCTCCCATAGAATTTGTCCTTACTCATACAGCAGTCGCGGCCGAAGCGGCAGCGGGGTGTGGGGCAGGCTCGGCGAGCGCTGGCTTCGCTCCCTGGTCCTGGGTCTGAACCTCGCTTGGCGGCGGCGGCTGCGTCGGCGGCTGCGTAGGCGGCTGCGTCTGTTTCTGTGCCGCCGACGGTGACGGTGAGGGCACCGTCGCGGCATCCGTCTTCGTTGTCAGCTGATCCACCACTCCCTCTTCAGCGGGCGGTATTGTCTTGGCCGCTTTGGGTTCCTGTTCCTCGGTCTTCTCTCCGACGGCGCCATTGGTCGTCTCTGGAACTCTTTCCTCCTCCTCCTTTCCCACTTCCTTCTTCTTTGGCTGCCTTGGCGGACCTCCTTTCAGGAATCGCTCTGGCACCCCGCGAGCGGCATATGTGCAGCTGCCGACCCACGCGCCAAGCAGGCTGCTCCATTTGTACTCACCGCGGCGGAGACGTTGGATTTCGCGGTATGCATAGGCGTTGAAGTACGGCAAACCCGTCTCGGGATCGCGGTAGCGGGCTGGGTGGGCAGTGATGACACATACTGGCCGAGGTGCCGGCTTTGCAAGGCGATCCATCCGCCGTCCAAAAAGAATCTGGGTCTGGACTGTCTTGTCACGGACACGCTCTTCGTCAAAGTTACGGAGAATAAACGCGTTACGAGCGACCTCGCTCGGAGGAGGCTCCTCAGGCGCAGGCGCCTCTGCCGGCGCAGGTGGTGCGGGAGGAGAGAGATCTACCGCCGGTTGTGGTGAGGGTTTGGGCGGGGTGAGAGGTTGTGTTGGCTGAAGCGGTGCAAGCGAGGGAGGCGGCGGCGGTCTTGCAGACGGAGGCGGAGGAGGCGCCGGCATGGAGAGGGGAGACTTGTGCTGGCATGCATTAGGAGGCGCCAGAACATTGGACTTTGGCTGCGTCGTGTGCTGGGCAAGGTGGATGCCGCCCAAGGGAGGGGCGAGAACCGGCGGTGCGAGCACTGGAGCTGCCAACACAGGCGCGGCCAATACAGGTGCCGAAGCCTTTGGAAGTGGCGGAATAGGCGGAGGAGCCATGGGCAATGGGCCAAAGGTCGGTGGTGGAGGTATTGATGGCGGTGCCATTATTCTGGATTTGTCTTCAGGTTTGGGCATGGCGAGCGACGACGATGGCGGTGGCGGGATAGGCGGGGGGGCCATTACAGGGAGCCGATCTTCCAACTTTGTGCTCAGTGTAGGGTCTGTCGGGGCGGGTGTTGATGGCGGTGGTGCCTTTGGGGTATCGTTCTGTTGAAGTATTTCGGCATCCGTTGATGTCGGAGGAGCTGGCGGAGCGTCAGGCTTTGCGTCCGATTGCCCCTCTGTTGCTGTCGGGGCAGAAGCATTCGATACTGGGCCATCCTCCTTGGCATCTTTTTGGTCCTTCTCCTTGCCCATCGCCTTGTCCACCTTCTCTTTCTTCTCCCTCTTCTTCCGAACGGGCTTCTCCTCCTCGGCGACCCTGCCCACATGCTTCAAATGATGCTCCCATTCGCCGATGCCGCTCCAGTAGGTAACCACAGGGCCCTTGAGCGTTCGGTTGTTGAGCGCGGCGAGCTTCGCAAGTCGTTCTTCCTCTCGCGCTTTTTCAGCCACCTCCCACCTGTTCAACGACTTTGCGTTGCGCTTCTCCACGAGAGCCGCTTCGGCCAGCCGTTCCGCCTGGGTCATGGGCGGTTTCTTCATCGCCTCGAGCTTCTTTGCCTTCTTCTCCATCATGGCCGCCTGTTTCAGCCGCTTCGCCTCGCGTTCCTTCATCTGTTGGTGCAGCTGCTCCTTGCTGAGCATCGTCGTCTGACGGAGCGAGGCGCGGATGGGCATGTCCGCCGCCGATGGCAGCCAACTCGTCCGTTCGGACTTCTTCTTCGGTCGAGGCGCTGGCGCGGCAGTCTGTTCGATGCGAACCTTCTTTCTGAACTTGGCGGGAATAGCTTCCTGGGCCTTACGTTTCCGCGAAGCCAGCTTCTTGTCCCGGGCCTGTTTCTCGAGCTCCTTTTCTCCCTCCAAATCGTCTCCCTGCTGCTGCTCATCCTCGTCGTCGGACGACGAATCCATCTGCACATCGGAACCGGCATCGTCAACATCGGTGAAGCCTTCGTCGTTGTCGTCTTCGGCGAAGAGTAGTTCGAGGTCCGAGTCGGGCTCTTCGTTGGCGAGCATGGACTTCATGCGATTGCCGGCAGTAGACCGCTTTGATCGACCGGTCGCAAGCCATTCCACCGTCGTTGGGGTGGCAATCGTCGGGGTGTCATTTTCGCTGTCGCTGCCGCTTCCAGAGTCTGAAGACTCATCGCGCGTGTCATTTGCGGTCGCAGCCATCGCGTCGTTCGAGATAGTAAATGTCAAGTTGGGGCCCTTAGCCCATCTCTGCCGCACTGTGAGAGGTGTGGCGTGGGAAACCGTCAGCTTGTTCGATGATGGTGGAAAGAAAGGGTGCAAGCGTGGGACGCGTCGTAGGTTAAAAAAAATTGTAGATACATAGCGCCCGTCGCGGCACTTGTGACGTCTGACAGTACGTCTTCCCTAGGACCTCCCGACAGGCACCAAGCGAATCGGGATTTAGCGGGCAGCGACCAACGGTCCCGAGTCCCTCAGTGGGGCTTAGGGGGAGTCACCTCCGTGCGCCCGTCACCCGATGTCTGTGGAAGCGACTGGGAAAGGAAAACTGGCTTACACCATTTGCGTCGACTTGTTAAACAGATTCCATCAAGCTTGTTTGCATAGATCCCCATGACTTGTAATTGCTAATCTGTGGCTGGCTTTGCCAACTCCTATGTGTACTCCGTACCAATGACCAAACGCCGTCTGCTAATTCACGTAATGCTCCCGCATCCCGTCCAACCCAGAAAACACATAAAGACACATGCAAGCCTTACATTTCCTCGCTCCGGCTCTCACCCGCCTGACTCCACTCTTTACACCATCCGAACCAGTACCTCTTATTGCAATGAGGGTCTGAAGGGGGTGCCTTCGTGGGCGCTGATATGGGCGTGGCCGTGGGAGCTGCAGTGATTGTGTGAGACGGGGTCGCGCCGGGAAACAAAGTCGTACTCGTGGTCGACGTAGTCTGATCCTTGCACCCGAACCATCCAGGCGTCTTGCAGGTTGTTGTAGTTGAAGTTGTGGAGGTAGATGAAGAAGAAGTGGTCGTGGTAGTGGTCGTGGTCGTCTCGTCCTTGCACCCGAACCATCCGGGTGTCTTACAGGTTGACGTGGTCGATGTAGACGTAGTCGTCGTGACCGGCGTCGTTGTGGTCTCATCCAAGCAACCCCACCAGCCCGGCGTCTGGCAGGTGGCTGTCCGAGTGCGCGTTTTGGATGTTGTTGAGGACCTGGACGTTGTTGTTGATTCGGTCCCGTTGCTCTCGTACATTTTCCAGTTGGCGCAGTCGCGACACTCGGGTGTAGCCTTACACTCTGGGACCGTATCATACTTCATAATGACATCGTGGATCACGGATCGGATCTTGTGGGTTCCGATGCCGACTCTCCATCCCTTGTCGGCCACAACATCGTAAACGCACTCAAGGCCAGAATGACAAGCCGATTCCATGGCATATCCAGCGAAGGAACACGTCGCAGTAGCGCCGTTGCAAGTGCCAATGTAGATGGGGTCTGCTGTGTGGCCGAAATGGAAAGCGCCCGTGTCTTGGCGAGCTTGATGCAGCATCTGGTTGTAGCCCGGAGGAACAGGCAAACCGAGTCTGCTAGCAGCGAGTGCCTCTGGCACGGCCTCAAAGGTCACGACGGGGATACCATAGGTCAGCCCTAGGAGGGAGCTGACAGCACCCCCGAGCGAATGTCCCGACAACCAAATATTGGAGTCGGGAAAAAGCTCAGTAACGTTGGAGTACAGTTCCTTGGCCGCCGTGTAATATCGGTGCTCGTCTTTGAGCGCTTGCACGACGCAGGTGTTGTTGCATGAGTAGGTGGATGTGGCGCAGTCGCACACTTGATGCCAAGTCCATTGCCCCTGCTGAGCACAACAGCAGCTGAAGAAAAGGTTGTCGTTGACCTTGTCGTTGGTGGTGGTTCCCTCTCCGTCGAATATGGCCGTAGAAGTTCCCTTGAGGCCAATCACGATTGTCGAGTTCGCCTCGTCCGCCCAGATATGCCCCCGAAGTCCGTCGCCTTCCCATCCAAAATCAGCGCTTCTGTTGTAGCCGCTGCCGACCTCTTCCCAGTCTGCCTTGCCCTCCTCTTCTATGTATGCGTTTGCAGCCATGATGGCGAGGCTGATAACGGTGGCCTTGTCCGTGACGTCGGGCCCGGGGACCTCGTCGGTGGTCCAGTCGGAAGGCGACATGATGTTGACGTAGCCGCGCTGACGAGCTTCGGTGACCATGGGGTCAACGACGGACGGACGACGATCGACCATGCGCTCGATCTTGAGGGGTGTGCTCTGGGCCTTGAGAGGCATTACCCTCTCCCTCTTGTATCCGTCCTCCTCTGCCAGCCAGACCTGGTTATCGGCGCCGTCGGAGTGGCGGACATCCTTGCGTCGGTGCAGCTGAGGATGCCGATATGTGCCATGATGGAAAATATGTCGTAACGTGAATAGATGTTCGCCAGAGTTGGGTTGTGCGGTGCTAGGTGGAAGCAGCGGCCCCGGTTGAAGGACGGTCTCTTGGTTGTCTGTCACTTCCCCAACGGAAGCTAGAGTCGGTGATACCGCGAGGAACGATAAGAGCAGCTGTGCCGTAACCCTGCCAGCAGAGCTACACTGGCCTCCTCCCCCTAATTTGAGTCTCATGGTTGTCTCAAGATGCAAGAAAAAAGGTGCATTCAGGGAGCGTAGTTGATCAAGGGTAGGGAGCGAATACGTCGAGGATATGGTCTCGCGGGAGGCGACGCGTGGAGGAAGACAGGTAGAGAGGATCAATGATGCCGACGTTGAAATGCGCACACAATGTGCCCCAAGTTATGACAGCATCAGGTGGACGTCCCTGGCACTGTTTACGTTGCCTCCGACTCGCGGAAGGTGCACAGATCAGACCTGATAACCCACCTCCGGCACCAAAAGGTCTCCGCCTCCGGATCGTCGTTAAGATTTTGTATGATCGATACCGCAATCGGCTAAACAGTTGTTCTGGGCGGGTACCCATAGTCTCATGTTCCCTGATAAGGCGCCATCAGGGATACCCGCACCAGCATGTGACCAATGTCCCCTCAAGTAGCGCATGTCTTCTATATCAGGCGCTGTCTGGTGCCTGGCACCCACCGTTCCACGCCACTCGGGGGAGACATTGAGGGGCATCTTCAGCGGACTTTCGGCTACTTGACGATCCCGTCGCAACCCGCCCGAGTCGCTGCCATGGATAACGCGCCCAAGATTGTTGATATCCCGAGGCAACATTTATGCTTTGGGATAAGGTACGTTGTACAAGGCACCAGAACGGGGCCTATCACTGATCAGGACCCAGGAATCAGGACCAAACAGCAAAGTACAGAGCAAGGAGGCTCCTGATACTGGTAGGTCTAGGCGGAGGCTAAGACATCCACTGCCAGTCACCCTCGTACCCCCCCCCAGCACATGCATGCACTAAAGGGTCGGGTCCGTCTGCAGATGACACCTGGGCTTCCAATAAAACATGAGCGGGGACATGGCAGGAGCTACCTTGTCTACCTCACCTACCTATCGTAGCTGGCATGCTCGGTTCGTTACCTGCGTTACCTCCCTTTCATGGGAACTTAAGCTGCTCAGAGAAAACATCCTCAAAACTCTTTGCTCTCCCGCCCTCGCCGTTGCTTTGCGCTGGCACAAGGCACCCCGTGCACCCATCAACGGCACTGACATCATTTTGTTAGAGATGCGAATAGAAACATAGCTGCCATCTTGGGCCATCTAACGAGCCATTATCCCTGTTCTACCACTCCATTTATGGCATAAATCCGTCCCGCGTGCCACAGCCAGGGATCTCTTTCCTCTGATATCGGGTTTCAAGATCGCTTCCACTCCTTAATGCCGCCTCGACAACATCGGATCAGGTACGTCTGTTGTCAGCCCCAAGTCGGCGCCTGGCTTTCTTCTCTTCCTCACCTCCAGGACGTCAGACTGACCAAGGAAATGGCTTCCAGCATCGTCGAAACCATGTCATCCACCGGCCCCTCCAAATCCCCAGCAGCTCGTCCAAACACGATACGGGCGCCTTCCTTCACTCGCCAGAGCGAAGATAGCGATCCCCTCAGGGTATCGAAACGAGCTCAAACATTCCACAACGGCACTGCGGCCGACCCGCTGACGACAACGCCGACTGTCGCCAGCAAGGCCCAGCAGAAGCCAGCAGACGAGCCTGAGGGCCCTGATGCCTTTGAAACTGCTGGTAGACCTTCAACGGACAATGACGATGGATTCGATGGCAGAGGATCTGTGGACCTTGGCGAGCTCCCAATTGAGCTAGTCAGTCTGACTGACAGGTACGATGCCGCATCTTCCCCCGTGCTCTCACGCCGAGTAAGGCACTGATCCCGTGTAGCTTCGTCGAGTCTCTCACCTCTAGAACCCATCCCACGCCTTTGACCATTGACAAAGTCTCCGAATTGTTCCAAGATTTCTACCAAGTCGCATCGACCCACGTCAACACCCACATCTCTAGTCTGATTACACGGCACAATCGAGATGCTTCGCCTGCGCCGTCCGCGTCCTCCAAGGTCTCCTTCACAGCTAGCAGGCTTCGAGCTAAGGCGGCTTCTCTCGGAAGCAAGGATAAACCTAAAAATCTCCCCAAAGCAGAGCCGGAGCAGCAGATGATTACCGCTGAAGAACTCGCCAACAAGAAGAAGGCGCGGAAAGCCATCGAAGCCAAGCGTGGCATCATTGAGGAGGCAGTGGAGCGCAGATTGTGCGAAGGCATTTATAATAAGATCTACCGCCACAAGAGCACCCAGGACGAAGCGCAGGACTCAAAGCTGAGGTCAAAGACTGCGGCACTCGCGCTGGTCGGCATTGGGCCGGCTGACCTTGGGATTGATCTTGGCGACGATGCATCCCAGACGCCCGAAGCGGCTGCGGAAAAGGCTGAAGAGATCAAGAAGTCGCTTGCGCAGGCCAGAAGAGATCTGATTCTCATGAACGAGAAGCGATACCCGCTTGGCAAGGTACACCACTTGAAAGCGGCACACAAGGACATTGTCGAGACCTTGGCGCAATTTCACCCGTCTGCATCTGCGGATGAGATTATGCCTATGCTCATCTTCACGCTTATCACGCTTCCTCCCGAGCACCTTAACGTCATCAGCGACCTGCACTTTATTCAGCACTTTAGATGGGAGCCGAAGTTGACGGGGGAAGCTGCGTACTGCTTGACGAACCTTGAAGCAGCCATCAGCTTCCTGGAGACGGTCGATCTGTCTACGCTGAGGGCTGATGAGCTGCCCCAGGGTCCTGCCAGGGGCGCAAGCCAGCCGGGCACTCCGCGGGCTGACACGTTTCCTCCGGCGTTCCCGCCCGGATTGACGGTAACGGCGGATCCTTCGGTGGAGACCGATTCTGGCAATGCCACACCAACGAGACCGCCTGCGTCGCCTTCAGCATCCGCCGGGCTGCGTGCTGCGGTGCAAGCTCGTAATAGAAGACTGAGCGAGCTAGTCAACACGCCTGCCCAGGCCATTGGTGCTGCAAGTGATGCTGTGCTCAACACGGCCGATCAACATATAAAGACAATCTCAACGAGTCTGGGCGATAGCTACAAGTTCTTGGTTGGCAAGTTACGCGAGACACAGGGCACTCCGACCGAATCAGGCCAGGGGCTCGTCGTGCCGAAGACGCTTGATGATGCTCGAAAGTTGATGAGTACCCCGCCCCCAGAGGAAGAAGGGTCGACCAGTGGTGCCAGCTCGGTTCATGGCACGGAGGAGGCCGAGTCTACTCGTCGACCCCCGGTCCGCGAGGATAAGGTTCTGAATCTCATTGGCGGACGCAAGGTCAGTCGAGATCACAGCGCAGACAGCTCGCGAAGCGTCAACAGCTCGAAGAAGGTGCTCTTTGCCAAAGAAGGGGAAAAGGATCTGCCGACACCATCTCCTGGGAACGCCTCCAACCCTCTTGACTCAATGAGGAACTTTGGCAATTCCTTTTCGAGGTTCTCCGGTATGAGCATGATCAGGGGCCTCAGCCGGACTGCATCGACGCCTATTGTGGCGAAGGAAACACCCAAGGATGCGGCCAAGGATGGCCTGGCTACAAAAGTAGCTGATGGCGGCGATCTGGCAAGCGTATGTATTCAGATGAAAAACCTTCGCACCAAGTGCTAACTGCCGTAGGCGTTTCCGGACATTGCAGCTGCCTTGCCGCCCAAACAAGCACCAAAGATCAGCCCGCCGAACAAGCGGTTCATGGAGATGCAGAACCCTGGCGATCTCAAAATTGGCGAGGTTCTCGACTTGTTGCGCGACTACCGAAGGCTGGCGACCGCGCTCAAGGACATGGGGGCCTTTGAGGGGTCCAAGTGAAGAAAGGAGGGTGTAGAAGAAACGTGAAGAGATAAGATACGGCCTAGACAAAGCTTGCTGCACTCATTTGTAGGATTCCTGTGGGAGATGGATAAGCATACTGGATACTGGCGTTTTGATCTTTTTATTACTGTTGTCTAACAAAAGTCTGGCGAGCCGTTTCGGTTGAAAGTGGCTCTCTGCTCGCTCGACTTTGAAGTACCTTTAGGGGTGGAGGGCACCACAGAGACTCGAGGATAGTGGGCGAATACGCAGAGGTACAACACTACACACTACACAATGCAAAAGAAAATTCCGTGTGGGATTATTAGACAAGGTTCCTACAGGAGCGAAATCAAAGAGAAGTCCGGTATCCAGCGAGAAGAAAGAGATAGGTAGTGGAAAGTAATAGTAGTGGGTTTTCTAGGTACTCTTGCTGGTACCATGTAAATCTTACACGAGAAGAGAAAGATCCCACCCACACTCCCTCTCCTTTTGCCTTCATCGTCTGAGGCAAGGAGAGAAAGAGACAAGGGGATTCGCGCCCAAAACACCGAAACCATGCCACGGAAATGATGGTTGAAACGCCACCCCCTCACAGTCCAGCGCCAGACCAGATACCTCATCATGGAGAAGTAGACCGTTTGTTGTATGGAAGTGGTTTGCGGTGAAGAACCTGGAAAATTGTATATTTTCTGCCTGCTTGCCTGCTTGCCTGCTTGCTTGATGGGTTGTCGTTGTATTTAAAAAGAGGATAAAGGAAAAGAGCCTGGTTTTTGATGAGAAGAGAAGCCTGCCACCGTTGGGACCCCACCCTCTCGACCATTTCCTATGAAGTGTTCCCTCGTGTGTTGTTGTTTTTTATTTACTTTTTTTTGGTATACTAATTTGTTTGGTGTTTTTTTATTTTTTCGTTTTAGTTTGTCTCCCAGCTGGCACCTCAATGATTGCCGTTCATCTTGGAATCTTTGGGCGGCAACATGCTGACACGGTTCGTGCGCTCCTGCAAGACGCCGCTGGGGACGGCGCCCTCCTTCTCGTCGCTAATGAGCTTGTCCATGAAGGCAATGTAATCGTACTGCGGCATACCCCGATCCTCGGCCGTGTCCGGGCCGCTGTGCGGGGGAATAATCTCAATGAGCTTGTCAATGACCTCGTCGGGGACGAGAGAGTGGCGGAGGTCCATCTCGGTGACGTAAGGCTTCCCGTCGGCGACCTCGCGGAAGGACTGGAAGACCTGCTCGGCCGTGTTCTGGTCCTCGGTGACGTCGACCATGAAGCGGATAAACTGCTCAAACGTGACGTGGTCGCGTCCCCTCGACGTGTCCATGAAGTAGTCGTGCATCTCGTCCTCGGAGAAGACGAGGCCCAGGGAAGCGAGGGCGGCGCTGAACTCGAGTTCCTGGAGCGAGTTTGTGTCGTCGCGGTCAAAGTGGCGAAAGACGGACTCGAACTCCTCGAGCTGGATGGGCGTGAGGTTGGTCATGTTGCGGGCGACCATTTGGTTGTCGAGGAAGGCGAGCTTCTTCTGCACCGACGACTTTACGAGGCTGTGCTCATAGACTAGTTCATCGTAGGTGTAAATTGTGAAGTCGTTCTCCTCAATGTTGGCCTCCTGGCACTTGGCGTCCACGGCGGCTATGGTGTCAAGGTACTTGTCCAAAGGCGGCAGGTTGTCGCTGAGCTTGCGGACGTGGTGGAGCTGGTCCTCGACGTCGCCGTCCAGGCCTGAGATTGCCAGCTGCATGGTGTTCAACGCCATGGCGAAGTCGTTGGCCTTGTCGGCGAATGACTTGCGTAGTGCGTTTTTGATGCTGTACAAATGTTAGAACTGGAACAAAAGACTCGCCACACGCAACAACACTTACTCTCTGATGGTCTCGTTAATCAACTGCGCCCTCTTCATCTCCGTTTGTGACAACCCGGACCAATCCTTCTCCATCGTCTCGAGGGACAACTCTGGTGGAGGGTCGTACGGCCGCAGTCTATATGTGCCCAGTTTCGTCTTGATGTTGCCCAACAGAGTGGCAAGCTCGCTCTTCTCGGCAACCCAGTCTCTCTTCTTTCCTCTCTTGTATGCAGAAAACTCGTTTGCTTGGGCCTTGGCGTCGGCGTAGGTCCCTTCAAATGTGGCTTGCTGCCACTTTTCAATCTGCTCCTTGATTTGCCTCAGCAGCTCCCTCATTCGCCTTTCGTACGCACTCTGCATGTCCCAGGCGCCGGCCATGTTATTTACGAACTTCTCTACGCGACGTCCTGCGTTCTCGACCTTTTCCATTTGCGAAAAGGCGTGGAACCAGTAGGCGATGTAAGTCATCAGCGACCTCTCGTCAGGCTTGGCGACGTCGCACACGTCCTCCACGTCCAGCAGCTTGGGAATACCAATCTCCTTGTGCGCAATATCGAAAGCCATCTGCATGTTGCCGCGGCGGTCCGACTTGTCCAGCGCGTCGTAGTCGATCAGATCTGGTCTGTGGATATCCAGCAGGGCGCAAAAGGCTAGTCCGTCGTTCCAGCTGCCGCTGAAGTCGCGGACCTCCACCTCGTCGTAGCAGGCCGTCTTTCTTTGACACCATAACAACAGTCCCTCCTTGGCCGTCATACCCTCTTCGTTGATGTCGCTGATGGTGAATCGGAGAATAAGCGTCCAAATCAGCCCGAGAATGATCTTTCTGTTTCCGTCAACGACATCCTCGGCACCAATGTTGGTCATCTGGATGCCGCGGCCCTTGATGAAATCGAGCGCCGTGTTTGCATTTTCGAATCGTTGCACGCGGAGCTTCGGCTTCGACGCATAGCGTCCGAGGGTATCGTTGGACAGGCATTCTAGCAAGTGGATGAGGAGGACCTGTAGAGGAAGAATCTGTAAGCCAAGAACCCCGCAAACCAGGAAATAGGGGTCCCACTAACACCGTCGCTCAAATCAGTCACGAGATCCTTTACTTCAAGCGAGCGAGCCTCCAATTTGGTGTTCATCCTATTGAAAAGCACACCAAAGTCAGTTCATGATGGCAACCAGCAGATAAACTGCCAGGCGGGGGGTCCCGCAACGGTAAGGGGTCGTACCATTTGGTGAACGTCTTTTGCTGGACCGTGATCCATTTCTGCTGTTCCGCAAACGCCATCCTCGTCAGGCCCTGATCATGCGGCGGCTCAACGGCGGCGAGAGCGGAGGCGGGCGAGGAGCCTGTGGCGGAACGGAATCGGTTCTTCTTGGCTACGCTGCTCTTGCGTGCGAGCGCGAGGCTGCTGCTCCCTGATCTCTGGAGGCGGGCGGCTTGCAGCTCGGTTTTGTCTCGTCTGGTCCTGGGGCTGGGCGAACTGGTGCTGGCTCCGCTATCTGTACGGACTCGGGAGGAGGTAGAGGAGGAGGCAGGGGATGTTTTCTCTGACGGGTGCTCGGCGGTGGTCGGGGTGGTAGGGGTCGTGGATGCGGGTGAAGTTGTGGACGCCTGGCTACCGGCCGAGTGGTGGTCGTGTAAACAAAACTCGGGGAATTTCTCGTTGCACCCTACGTTGCCGGGCAGACTGGCGCCTGACAGAGGGCGCGCCCCCTGAGGACGGTCGGCGGTGGACGTCATTTCGGACAATTCTAGTGGCTCGCTAAGTCGGTCGGCGGCGCTCGTCCGCTGCAGGCGCTGGGGTTCGATAGTGAATTGGCTTATCGATAACCACCCAACTGCCGAGAAAGGTATTGAAGATCGTCGTTAATTTAAATCGAGTCGCTTGGGGGTTCGTTCAAGTCCAACAGATCTGTCATGGGCTCATGGGTTTGCCGTACCGAATCGAAGAAACTAAACAACTGACCAGGTAACAGACTGGACGGAGAAAAGGGACAGACACGCATGCATTCGTCAAATAGGGGGAGCCCTTCTTCGTTTAATACCGTCCCGTCCACCCAGATATTTGCCATCAGACAAAGACCACCCCTTCTTAACTCCAAGCAAGGTTCCTTGGTTGAACAAGAGACAAGACAAGTACAGACGAAAGACGTCGCGCGGCACACCCAGGAGAGCGAGGTCTTCCCCAGGCGCGCGATCTCCTCTGAAACAAGAGCCTGTCTCCCGTCCCCTCCACGTAGCCCACTCTCACGATCAGGATCGCTCCCCTCTCTTCCCAGGACCCCGTTGATCCCGCCGCTAAAAAAAATGACCCTTTGACTACTCGTCGAGTCGCCTAGAGTCTGTCCATCAGGGCTCGCACGCTCATGGGCCATGGCTCGTCGCCCCCGGCCGCAAGAGGGTCCCCGCACACCCTCGTCCCACTGTCGAAGCCACTCATGCATGCAATAATGCTTGGAGCTGATCGGCAGGGATCCCCAAGGATGCCATGGTGGCCATGACTCCCAAATAAGGCAAGCGAGCATGTCTTCGTCGTCGCGGATAAGTCATTTGCAAGAGAAAGTGGGAGGCTCGCCGGACCTATCTCATGCTATTCGCCTGTATCCTCAACCAACCATCCCGGACAATGGCCTGTTCTGGTCGTCTACCTTCTTGGAACATTCTTCCCCTCAGCCACTCCCGACTGGGAACGGCAGCCGTTGTCAACTGAGTTCCTCTGACAGTTTGCCCCCCCCCCCCCCCCCCCCCCCCCCCCCCCCCCCCCCCCCCCCCCCCCCCCCCCCCCCCCCCCCCCCCCCCCCCCCCCCCCCCCCCCCCCCCCCCGCCCCCCCCCCCCCCCCCCCCCCCCCCCCCCCCCCCCGACCCCCCCCCCCGCCGCCCCCCGCCTCGGCATCCCCTCCATGGTCATCTGCATCGAGATGCTGCCCCTCGCCGCCTTCTTCCACTACGCCTACTCGCACCGGCCCTACGTCATCGGCAGCGG